CCCACCGCGCCCCCTTCAAATGTTCCTCCATGCCCCTTTAGTGGGGTGCGCCCCACAGTCTGGGGACCACTGCTCTAGCTAGTAGCTTGAGGCTCCAGCACGGGGAGGCTGGTCAGTGTAGCCAGCCCTGCCCAGGAGGCTTGTTTTCCGTTACAGAAATGGGGAAGTCATGCCCCAGAACGGATTGGCCACCTCCCAGGAAGTCTGTCAGCTCCTGTCCTCCCTCCCTTCCTCACCCTGCATGTTTCCTGCCTCTCCCTCTCTCTCTGTCTCTCTCTCATACAAAACCACCAGCAGCTCCCTGGAAATCCCCTACCTGAGCCAACTTCACCACAGCCACTTCTGTCCCTCCATCAGGAGGAGGCGCTGATCGGGTGTGAAAAGTGGTTGTCATTCTTCAGTCTGTTAGGGTGACCTTAGAATGGTGATAGGGAAAGTTTCAGAAGGGGTGTGAGTCTGTTTCACACCCCGATACCCCCTGCGGTGGTTTTTTGTTTTGTTTTTGCTGCAGACAGATGTCCTAGACTTTGCATGAGGGAAAATTTTCGGTCACTTTATTACATGGCAGATGCAGCCCCTCCTACCAGGGTTAAATCCACGAAACCCTCCCACTGCCCGAGCCTCTGAGCTGGAAGCAAGAGAAGAGCGGAATCAAAGGAGCTGCTTTGGGGGAATCTTGTATCGTTAGATCATTCGACAGCAAAAATTAGTGACAGTTGTGAGACTTTTATATCAGTATTTGGTCATTAAAAGAAAAAAATAGGAAAATCTTAGATTTGTATATTTTCATTGATTAGACAGGAAACGTCTTATATCAATCGTGGATACCTAGAGGGGAAAATAAGCAATTTATGCAGATACTCATAATGCATAAATAGAGAGAATGGATTATAATCGGAGGGGATTTTTTATCAAAATCAGTTAGGTGATGGGCGTCCCAGCACCACTGAGCTGAAATTCCCTCCGAAATCTCTTTCCACTCAGCTTCCCAAAAACTCAGTTCAACTCCTGACTTCGTCCCTCAAGTATTTTTTTTTTATTGAGCATCCAGCCAGGCTACGCTGAGCTAATTAAATATAAATACAGGAGGTAAATGCAGAGGACAGCGCGACTCCAAAGTTACAGGCAACCCCTCTCTCTTTATATACATGTCTCCATCTCTTTGCCTTCACTCTACGTTGCATCGCTCATGTTAAAACTGGCGCCGTTACTTAGCAAACACCAATCTCTGCACCGCACGCTCTGGCCACGCGCTGCGTGTGTTCGCCCTTTGTTTTTACATTCCTATGATCTTTTTCCTAATAAACAGCCCCCTGCGGGTTCTCCCTCGGATCTTTAGCTAGCTCAGGCATTGCGTCTCTTTACCTGACCCACCT